TAGCAAAAGTCATTATAAACAATTTATAAGATTGTATGTATGTATGTGGATATATGAATAACGATCGCTTAAAATCGATCTCAAATTTGTACTTTAGGTCTATGCTATGTAGTTAGACTATTGCCAATTAAATCTATTGCTTTGTATTGTATACGCCCCACGCTTTTCATTTTCAATCTCATAAATTGTTTATAATGACTTTTGCTAAAATTTCAAAATCAAAAGTTATCAAAACAAATTCTATGGGACTGAGAAATATTACTTTCTACTTTTTAGTCCATTTATAAAAGCGTTGTATATTAAACAGTTTTTTTTATATTGTTTGTTTTCTACTATTTAGTCTTGTCTGTATAAAATTTTGCAATAGATATTAAAATAATTCAACGATATTAATAGATTGGTGCACACATATGCGTATACATATATGTATATGTACATACATACGAGCACCAATTAATTTCGTTTAAATAAATGGCGTGCCGTTCATTTCCGCTGTAGCGTACGTAGTGCATAGGGCGACATCTACCCCTCAACCGATGAGGTTGATGTCTAGACTTTATAGGAACTTCGCAAAGCAAAGGCTTTATAGCTTTCTGGACACACAACACTGCAAGTAACCGGAAACACAACATTGCAAGTTGATAAAAGCGTTGTCATATAATAAAAAAAAGGTTATGTAGTTCGAAATATAAAATGTTATTTAAAGCGTTATTTAGCTTGAATGCTCACCCTTGCTTACTTCAACGCAGTCTATTTTATTATCGAATTTCAAAATTTGGCATTGGATAGAAATTTTCTCTTTGTCGCTTTTTAGTACAAGTTAGGAAAATTGCTTAAAACTGTTAAAAATGTCGAATTAGCGCTTTCTTTATATGAGAATGGATCAATACATGCAAGCCTTTTCAAAATTTCACTGTTAAAATTAAATCTCTTTTTTATTTGCAAACAAAGTTCAATAAAACATTGCTCAATATATATATATATCTTTTTTATATTAGGACTTTATTTAAATGCGCTGCTGTTATATACGTCTCTGCGGCAGAAGTATTATGTATATAGTTCTGTAAGAGGTAAATGATTATCTGTGTTACAAACGTCCATATCAGCTGGGTTACTTGGAATACGGTTTAGTTTGGCAAAAAAAGGCTGTATAAGTTTATAATTACTTTCAAAATGGTTATATAACTTATTCGATTGACAATATCCAAAATATTTGACAAAAATAAACAATACATTTTTATTGGTGCGGAATCAGTTTTTTCAGCAATAGCTTGCGCTTGGTTCACACCATCATCGAAACAAAATATGAATATGCGATTTTAATAATTTCTATCCAAAATATCTGTTAGGGTTCCCCATTTACTTAAAAGGTTAAAATATCACATTAAAAGCTTTCAGTAAAAGATGTAAGGCCAAGGAGCCTGCGATTTAGATTATATTTCCTTTAAAGTGTTGGGCTAACTACAATTTCAATTCGTTGTCTGTCATTTGAAATTAGTCCTATGGGAATCGCTTGGGCATTTTTAATTTAACAAGTCCTTAAAAAGTAAACTATAGAAAAAAAATTATTTTAAAAAGTTTACCATTTTTGACAACTAAAAATTATAAATGCAGGACCGAGTAGAGCTTACGGCTACAAGTCACTTAAAACCCTAAACGATAGTAAACAAGAAAATATATTGAAATCTTTGTTGGTTCTATTTGCAAATGACTCTAATAGAGTTCGTTTAAGTCACATATTTTATTACAAAGGGCGAACTACTGTAATTATGGACGTGATTTCGTGCGAAATTTAACCTCATAAGCACAGCCCAAATATTTTTAAAACACATCTCAAATCGCGCATTTTTAATTTTATTAGAAGTAAGTGTGGTTTTTGATAGATTTAAAAAGTGTTCAACGTCTTTCTTTCTGATATAATAGGCAATGTGTGAGCAAAAGTGGGAAGGAACGATTAAGCGATTACTGACGTACACACATTTTATATAGAGTAGGCAGGGCCGCCCATATTTTCCAAAATTTTACAAAAACCCAAAAACTAATGCTAAAAACTTTTTTCAAATAACAAATTTGACCAATTTAACAACAGTAGTTTTCAAAATAAATTTGTTTTGGCATTCTTTCTATCTTCAACAAGAATTTACCCTGAACCCATTGTAACATGTGCCACGTTCCCTGAAATATGAAACATTTCGCTCGAGCTAAGAGGTTTCGGCCCAATTCACAAAAAACAGCGACCCCTCCATACGAGCTAACTACTGCGAGCTCATCCTTCTAAGCATCGGATGTAGGGTCTTAGCGAACGTATTGTACAAAAGACTGAAGCCTACCGTCTACGTATTAATTGGACTTTATCAGTGGTACTTTATACCTGCAAATCCACCACAGACCAGGTACTCACCAAAAGCAAAATATTTTAAAAGACCCGCGAGAATAAATTCGAAATAGGGACAAGTCATAAAATATTTTTTATAGATAATTGCCTGATCCACATTTTTGTGACACCTATTTTTTGATACCCCTTACAGTTTGGATGAAAATGCTAAAAACCAATTTATGTGATCTTTGACTTCAAATAAATTTTTCGCGGATGTGGAATCGATGAGACCTTTTTACATTTCATTTATAATGGCATATCCAACAATGGCCTTTTTGAAAAAAATTCATATGAAAAGTGTAATGTCATTTATGTAAAAAAATGTTAAGCGGTAGATCGAAAGAACATCACCCAAAGTATTGAAGAGACATATAAAAATACGAATTAGAACGAAAAAAATTCGATTTTTGAGAATCGAAAATTAATGAGTCGTTTTGCAAAAGTGCATGAAAAGCGCAATTTTTAAGATATCGGCAAATAAAAAAATATGTGTACGCTTATTTTCCAAGAAGAATAAAATATTAAAATTTGAAATGATTCGGAGAGATAGGTGAAGTCGGCTTGCATGATTTGAGATGGAATTGGTCATGTATGACTTGACTTCAACTTTTACCAGATCTCTTCCGCCCGGCGTCTCAGCTGTCAGCACTACAATCAAGAAGAATTCAGTTGAAAAAAGCTTACCACTTAACATAATCTAATTAACCTTGTCTGGCTTAGCATTCGTCAGGGCAAGCTATGCGATCAAAATACTTTTTCCTTTGTAAAAAGTATAGTTTATAAAATTGATGCCTTTTCATCTTCTTTGGTGTTTGTATACCTATACATATATACATATGTAGGTTTGATGAACATATATTTGTCTAAACACTAAACTTGCCACTGCCGCCATAATAAATTTTGCAACCAACCGACCGGTAGAGTCCACTAAATCAACCATACTTAGTTTCCTAGTTTGGCTAAACAAAGGAAGAGAAAAAAACGCAAAGTAGTGACACCATCACTGCAGAAATTTACTAGAGACACACGACAATTACCAACTGATCGGCCAAATCATTCCATACCATCGAAGTAGAGAAAGCCACACATACGCACAACTAGCTGATTGAGCCAAACTGACCGCTTATTTATTTTCGCTTTACCACTCGTAAAAAAATGTATATGCAATGAAGCATAAGCCAACGAGACCGCAGTTACAGCATTTTGCACAATTGTCACGCAAACGTACGCACCATCAGCTGTTGCGGTTGCTTTAGCTTGCTGCCATATGCGCACGATTGCATTTACACTTACAAACATATGCATCTGCATGCGTTTCAGCAGTTTTCGAATTTGTAGCTTTTTTATTCGGTTTTACTCATTCGCCTAAATATTTCCCGATATGTCCATTCATTTTCCTTGTTCGCAAACCCGTCGCTCGGAGGCCGAAGTGCAGGTTCAATGATTTGGTAAAACCAGCGAAGGCGTTGGCAGTGCGATTTCATAATTGCCAGTGACATGTTGCGCGCCAACGCATAAATATTAATGTACTGATACATTGTTGTATGTATGTTTGTATCTAAGTTTATTGGCTTCTTGCTTTTATAATTTTCATCAAATTCCGGTTTATGTCGTGCGGACATTTTTTGATTTTCCTGCAAGTAAACTGACACCAGTGAGCACCAGTTTTTGGCGCGAAAACGCCGCCGTTTACAGACGTCATACATACATATATATAGCACAATTGGTACATGCGGGTTCGCAGCTTAAGTCTTTGGTTTTTTTTTTCGTTGGTCGAGTACTTTTTGTTGAAAGTATGTATGTATGTATGTATTCATATTGGCGCGAAACAGTCTTTTTTGAATTTCAAATATAAAAATACATTTTTTTTTCTTAAATAATGAGTACATCAAGTATTTTTGTTTTATTAAATTTACATTGCATATTATCCAGTTTATCCTCACACTTCATTAATTACAAAGCATACAGCACATACTTTCTTCTCTCCAATGAATTGTAGTTAAATTTTGCCAGTTATTTTTGTATACATGGAAAAGCAAAAAGATTTTGAAATCATCATTTAGTATTGTGAAGAAAATAAAATTACAAGTTATAAGTCTTCAGTAGTGTAGAGTAAGCACACAGCTATAAGTCAAAAATGTAAAATAAAAGAGCACACATTTAATTTATAATTCATAAGACAAGTCTTTCATATTTCGTTCACAAAAAAGCTTTAGAGCCTGATTTAGCATTGGTAAATTCGTTAGTTTTCAAATAGCTAATAAGTCCATATTTAGGTAGAGTAAAGTTAAATAGTGACTAATGACATTTTAATGTTTGAATAAAGTTAAGATTATACATACATATATATATATAAAGTGACAACATTGGTGTTATTGGCAGTGGTGCTAATGGCAGTAGTTATAGTAATGAACAGTCGAATAAGTTAGAACATTAACGCTATCACAGTGTATCAAAATCCATAAAAAAAGGAAAGATAATAAAAACAAGAAAAAATTAATATTCTACTGAAGATATCTAAAATTGTGTTAGGTCTTAATAGGCCCTTTCCGAGATGGCAGTTGAAGTATGCATACATTTATAAGTAATGAAAATCTAACTGATTTTTTAAAGTAACCTCATTTTGTTTTCTGTGTCTACTCCCTGTTCTTAATTTATAATTCAGCTAATTCGATTTGAATTTACAACTAATTAATAAAATTCCACTGTTTCTGTTGTGATTGGTTTCCATCGGAATTATTCGGTTATCTTATTTCCTCAATAATGTCCTTCATGGTGTTCTTCGTGGTGTACAGGTGAAGTTTTGTGCACAATGGCATTAAAGCCGTTATGTTTGTCCGCCGTGTAGTCCACAGTGCGAATCGAGCCATCAGGTTCAACCAACGAGTATTGGCCTAAAATAAAAGAGATAGAATATATTTTACGATCAGAATGGTATTTAATATCTCAAAGAAGAACTGATGAATTAAATGCGAAAAAATAAATAAAAATAAGCTTTAACTTGAAACTTCAGTGGCAGGCTTTTCAAGCAATTTGAAACTGGTGCTCTAAATATATACTCTGAAAATGGGAATTTTATACTGAAGCTCCATTTTGAGGAGAAGTAATATTGATTTTGTTCATACTAATCTTTTAAGGAGTCCAAAAAGCTAATGGAGGGTTTACATTCAATACGTTATATCTACAGTTTTCACAAAAATTAGATTCTTTTATAAAAATCCACCTTCGGCCTTAACTGATATTAATCTAATTTTTCAAGCGAATTAACAATCGAATTTCATAGTTAAAATTGCAATCAATGATAAAAATTAAGTCTCAGATGGGTACTAGCATCAGCAAATAGATCATATTGAATGTAAGACCTCGATGTACACAAATGTTTCTTACAGTAAAGAACCTTCGTATATCGGTAACACAAAAAATGGCGGTTTCCTTAACATTGAGAGACGAAAAAATTACACTATGTTCCCACTTTTTTTATTTAACTATCAATTTAGAATTTTTATTTTTCGTATCAAGCAGCCATATTGTATATGATATTACTCCAACTTTCCATTCAATTAAGAATCTTATGAAGTAACACTCAAAATCAAATACACTTTTTCAAGTAAATACCCAAAGTTTCTCGGCCCTATTTTCGATAGAAAAATTTATTAGCACTAAAATTTGGTGGATCGCTTTACAAAAGACATAATCGCACTTTATATATTGCCAATTAGACATAAAGAAGAAAGAACGGAAACAGAGTTGCGTGTTTTATAATCACTTTTGAATTCAAATCCGCTATTAAGCTTCATGCGCTCGGGATTGAAGAAAATCGCGTAGACGGTCGGAAGTATTCATTTGTAGCAAGCGTTCCTTATCTTTTCGTACTAAAAATTGAAAAGTGTCAAAATGCAAGAGCGTAAGCAAAATGCGCTCACTAAAAGAGAATAACAGGAAAAAGTAAAGAAACGCAATAAACCAAATGTTTAGTCCAAAGAATGGCAACAACAAAACACATTCACACAAGCACAGTAAAAACTTACTATATCAATTTTATTTTTGCCTCCTTCCACTTTCAAATCACTTTTTTTTACTTTTTAGATTATTCTCACTTTTTATTTAAACTTTAATTTCCGTTAATTTAAATTCAGTTGTGTTTGACACTTTTCAAGATTTTGCCAGCGAAAATTCTTCTGACTAAATCTGACTACTTCGGACTGAAGAGAGTCACTATCACTGAGTGTTGCTATCTCATTTTTTCTGCCATTTTCGGGTTAAGGATCGCTTCTTGGACTAAATCTGAAAACTTTGGACTTTTTCTGACTATTTCTGGGAGATAAGGAACGCAACTAATTTGTAGGGAGAATCATTTAAACATACGAACAAGACACGGTTACGTTAACTGTCATACTTGTGTACACATTTTTTCATTTTTATTAACAACAAAAAATGTTAAACACAAAATGATGGTAAAAAAGTATCTTTTATTATATGTGCGTCGCAAACTCGCAACTTGTTTTCCGAACACAAAATTAATCTACACAATTCCTAACTAAGTCACATACATACGCAAATACGTAAAAACATGTTTCGACATGCAGAAATCAAAAAAATTCGTGTTGAGTAAAAAAGTTAAGTGACTTTCCATATCGTCACCTTAATTCACAAAGGCTCTAACCAACACTTTTTTCGAAACTGTGTTTTTCACAGAATTTGGTAGGAGGTATTAAAGTACACCTTCAGTAAAAATTTTAAAGTTTTAGTACCAAAAACAACGAAGTAACATACATGCCATTTTTTAAAAAGCCCTACCTGTTTTCGATATTATTTTTATTTAAGTTTTTTGCTTCTTCTCAAAAAAAAAAAATTTGTTAGGGCCTTTGTGAACTAACGTGCGACAAAAACCAAAAAAATTTCAAAATACACGAAACAATATACTCGCGAAACTAGGGGCCAAATATAGCAAAACTGCGTTTTTAGTTTTTCTCCCCGACGCCAGTATCTTTTTTTAAAGGACTTTAAATCTTCAAGGATATGAAAAATTATTAAAAATATCCATCGCGATGTAGAACAACAGTTTGAAGTCTAATGAATATACAATTTTGTACAATTGAAAAACATTAAATTTTTTAGTGCACAAGAACGAAAAGGTATTGAAAATGTCATTTTAAATAATAAACTAAAATGGTAACAGGACAATTTCAATACCCTTTCGTGCTTGTGCACCAACAGATTTAATTTTATTTGAATTTCACAGAGTTTTCTCTTTTATTTCACACCCATATTTTTATTCCACATTGCAGTGAATTTTTTTCTAATACATTTTGAATTTATCATATATCCTTGAAATTTCATAGTCCTTTTTTTAAATTCCGATGTCAGAGAGAGAAACCAAAGACGCAGTCTTTCTAAATTTGGCCTCGAGCTTCGTGGGTACATTAATTTCTTCGTGGTTGAAATTGATGGCTGCACGCTGTTATGTATGTATGTATGTAGGTATATGGTGTCTACATTTGTACTACCGGCCAGGAGATAGTAATTTTTAAAGGAAGAGTTTTGAAAGAGTCTCGAAAATATTTTTTTTTTTTAGTTTTTTGTGCGCCAAAACTGCTAAGAATGTATTTTTAGGAAGCTATGGAAAACCTTGGACGCAGTTTTAGTGGAATTATTTTATTTATTATAAATTTTCGGCGAAAATGCTACATACTACACTGCTACCGAGCGCATGAAGGTTAATTAAGAAATCTACATATTTGATTTTTGATTTGATTCGTCGACCAAACGAAAAATTCAATTTATTTGTGATTTGAAACGTCAACTAAGAAAAAATAATTGTTATTTTCTCGAAAACCGTGTTGCATAAAAAAAGAATTTTTATTTTTAGTTAGTAAATCACCAAGCAAACTGATTTGCTCAACAAATCAAACTGATTTGCTCAACAAATCAAATCACTAATAAAACTAATTAAAAGCCACGCAACCCTGAATGGAATGGACTCAAAAAACAAAATCATAGGGCACTAGATGTACCCAGCGGTTGTTAGACTCACACTTTTCTATGGAGCAAGCACTTGCTTTCCTACGGATTACTTCCATATTTATATGATAAGTTTCAGATCCGCTGAAAAGAAAGTAACGCGTTGATCCAAAGAGGACCGCCATTTATGCAGTTCACTTTTTCAATTGATATTATGAATTATCTAATTCCTTTCAATTGCTCTCTTTTAAGTATCGATTTTATTCTATTTTGTTTTGATTCGACATCTGATTACTAAAAGTTTTAGATTAAAATTTAGTAACGGCTACGATAAGTTTGCAATTCACACAATAATTGAATTCGAATTACATTCGCTCACCAAATTGCATTGCATTTAAATTGAACACAATCCACATCGTCATGGATCTTATTACGGTCATTTAATTTTTTTCTGCTAGCTTTCGAGTAAATACTTTACACCCATTCCATTATTTGCCTGCAGTAAAACTCCTGATGTAAGCAACTGGAGAAAACTGTACTAAAGGTCTACTGCTACTCAGAAGCTTCCTCGCTAAATCTGAGCTTCGGATTCTTACTATAGCAGGTTCCAACAAGTTTGTATGTCCGGACACAGGTGGCCCTTATACCAGACCAAAATTAACAGATGCATCTTTAAATTCCAAATACAGATGAGGCCTTTAAGAGTGTTCGTTGAAACTACATATATTCCATCACTTTATTATAATCTAAATCTCCTGTGGATTCCAGCCGATTTGTTACTTAAGTGAAAAATTTTCTAAAATTTTTGAAAACTGAGAACACATGCGCCACTCACATGATCAAGTTCTAACCTCCAAACACTGCGCAAAACAAAAAAGGAGAACCTTAAAATAAAGCGGAAACACTTTGGCCGATCCTAGGAATGATGACTAATTTAAAATAAAGAAATATTACTTTTTATGGCTTTTGTACTTATACTGCTTAGCTTTCAATTTATTTAAATTTTTGTTTTAAGTAACTTTTCTATCAACCTATAAATATGGGTTTCTGTACTTCTCGTATTTAAATATCAAACCTCTTTTAAATCTTCTCTAAATTCACCTTTTAAGATTAATATATTGAAAGTTCTTGTTTACAAACCTTTAACAGAGTCACCATCCCGTGATTCATGCTGCGATTTTACATCACCGGTATGGAAGTCATTTACACCATATTTAAAAGCATATTTAGGGGGAGCCTACAATCAAAATAAGTTTTATAGTCAGTAGTTTTAACAGCAAGCTCATTATATAGGTAATAAAAGGTAATCAAAATAAATATAAGTAAGTAAGTAGGGCTATTTACTTACATAATAATCGACGTGCTCTTCTTCATGCTCATAGCCATGGTGTTCTTCACCCAAAGAGACGCGTTCGATTTGATGATGTTCACCGAGATCATGACTGCTAAGATCTTCATAGCCGCCTTGCTCTTCATAGCCGCCTTGCTCTTCATAGTAGTGACCTATTGGTGAAGCCATTGCCAGGCATATAGCGGAAGCAAAAATTAAATACTGAAAATGGAAAGAATAAACTTACGTAAGTGTTTAAAATAAAAATTAAAAAAATATTATTTAAAACTATTGATAAAACGGTGCCATAACAACTCTGACAATCTGTGTAGACTTAGAAATTATTGGTTGGGTAAAATGTATTTTGGTTAAAGCTGCGTTTTAGTTTATTTATATGTTTATCTCACTTTTATCCATTTTTTGTTTAATTTAATTTTATTTATTTTATGCCATGAGACTATCAGTCAACAGTCCTTAAAGGGGCTCAGTATTGGATGAAGCCAGCACTCAGCACTCAGTATCCGCGGCAGGTTTAGCACTGCATGCAAAGCAACCCCAGATGTTTAGGGAAAGCTCCCGTACAATACACACGCTATATTGCGAGTACCAAACTGCTGTGCTAAAGAGCAAGGAGGCCTTTGTTATTTAGCAGGAAATTCAGAAATAAATATATTGATCCCCATTTATGTCTCCATGCTGCTCCCCCAAATTAAGATATTGTTACACACATTGAAAGATTTCACTACTCAACAAAAAAATCACCAAGAATGAAATAAAACGTAGAATTTTCACCTGATTCCGAATATAATAATGGGTTCTCTGGTTCAGAAATTTTTGATCAGCTCTTACCACCAAGAATAAAATAAAACTTTTCTAAGTTACTTTCATCTGCCGAGTGGCTATCGCTTTAAAAACCAAATTATTTTATTTTGGATGCTGAGGGGAACAGACATTGATCTAGATTCTTACCGACTGATAATATGAACCTCTATCAGCTCGTTTACTCTGTCTGTATTTCTAAAAATACGTAAAGATATCGGAGTCATTCTTGTACTTAATGAGCGCTGAGGTGCATGTATGTATCCTTACTAATACTATTAAAGCGAAAGTGTGTTTGTTTGTTTGTCACACTTTCCTGTGTTAACTACTCAACCGTTCATCATGAAATTTTGCACGCTGGTGCCACCTAGCCTAACTTAAAATAAGGGATAGCCTTTATCTGGATTGGATAAGGGGACGTGGCACCTCCCATACAAACTCAAATTTCCATACCTCATAACTCTGGAAGAATTTGTGGTATAATACTGGAACTTGATATGGAGATACATATATAAAATCAATATCATACTCATGAGGGAAATGGGAGCTATTGAAGAAGGGGGTATGGCACCTACCACACAAACTGAATTATTCAAAATTAAATTCAGCTTCAATTAAAGGAATTTGGTAATTTAAATATGTCATCATGAATTAAAAGAGGTTTGATATGGTTGTCTTTTATACTATTTTGAAGAGGGTTGCCACCTGATTCAAAACTGGAATTATCGATCGAAATAATTTTGGAAGGGCCTTATTTCTTAATGACATTTAGGAGGGTTGCCAACTGTTTAAAAAAAATCTAATTCAATTCGAATTAAGGAAATTAGGTAATTAGAATGTGTATCACAATATGGGTGTCAGACTAAATAGGATTAAGAAGGCCGTACTTTGAAGCTGTTTCGAAAAGGGTTGCCACCTGCTTGAAAATTCAAGTTCAATTAAATGATAACAAGTTATTTGAAACATTAAAATATGCATGTAAAACGGAATAGTGTTAAAAAATTTAGTGTGAACTATTTTGAGTATTTTTTTGGTGTTTGAAGAAGGTTACCACCTGTTCAAAGAGTCATATTCATGCTAGTTAATGAGTTAAATGAATTATTACAATATCAGTATCAATAAAAATGATCTTGAAAAGGTTTCATTTTTAAACTACAAGTCTGAGGGTTGCAACCTTTTTAAAAAGCTTAATTCAACTTGCATTAAGATAATTTGGTAACGCAAGTAATGTGTCATAATATAGGTGCTAGGCGCAAGAGGTTTAAGAAGGTTAAACTTGAAAAAAATATATATAAAAAAAAATATGCGAATCCATTATGTGTTTGGCAAAGTTTAAGTACATATCGTTACCTGAGTGGAAGATCGACCTATCTCGGCCACCAGTTCGAAGACGCCCTGTCTCAGAAAATTTTTCAAGAACGCCCTACTTCAGAATTTCATTGAAGAAAGCGCTATTTGAGAATTTTATTGAAAAAGACCCTACCTCAGAATTTGGTTGAATAACGCCCTATCCTAGCTGAAAATACATTGAAAATATTCTGAGATTGGGCATTTTTGAATCGGAAGCTTAGATAGAGCGTTTCTCAATTTCTCAATTTCAATTCTGAACTAAGGCGTTCTTAAATAGTTTTCTAAGATAGGGCGTTTTCGAACTGGCTGCCGAGATAGTTGAATCTTCCATTCAGGAGACGATATGTTCAGTTTTATTGAAATAAATTACACCTAACCTTACACGTAGAAATTTCATACACTCAGCGAAGCGAGTGAAAGCAAACCAGTATATATATACATAGGTACGTACATAAATTCGGAATCAAGGGCAAGAAGAATATCCTACATATCATTGCTGAGAACACTTATTGTCTCTCTAGTCTCTGCAGACTAGAACTACATGATCAAAATATATAAACTTCAGCCTACTGTAAACAAATGTTATATTTGAGATGAATAAAAATTCTCCTAGAGTCGCTTTTCAGTGGAGCGTTAACTCTTCTCCGATTTTCAAAACCAAAATTGGAAGTGACTTGTTTTAGGGGATTTGTAACTCGAAACATCGAAAGGCTTTGAAATGATAGAGAAAATAAAATTAGCTCTTATAATGTACAACGAATCCTCTAAAACGCTTTTCAACCTTTAGTTTACATAGGAAACATTTTAAGACTTCAAGACATTGCGATGCTTAACACGTCTTGGAAATCAGCTTAATAAATATTGTCCACTGTTTTATGCTCTTTCTCGTACGAAAGTTATTATCTGTGAACTTAAAAATAAGTTTTGGGAAAAATAAAAGCGTGACGATGTCCTTTAATTAGAGGTTTGCAAAAGTAGCAGAAATTCCTTCCAAAATTCACCAGGAAGCAACTTTTTAAAACGATATCCTAAGTTTATTCTTATACTAACGGTCCTTTTTAATAAAAATTACGAATTTTTAGTATCAATGACACTGATTTTAGGCGTTCCATTTTGGGTATTTGGTATTTTCCTACAAGATAGATAAGGATTTCAATATCCTCAACATAGCTCGAAATTTTATTTATTTTTTTCATCTTTATTCCTTACTGCAAAGTCGAGAAAGCATTCGTTTCCCTGTTTTGCAGACACTGACATTTTTCTTGTTATAGAAAACAACACTACTTTCTTTTGCATATAAGTACATATACATATATGGTATGTCCTGAAGTGCATGTTTTATAAATCGTTCTGGGAGTTTTACACTTAAGTTATGATTACATATCATTTAGCTTATCGCACTTGCATGAACTTTCAACCAGTTTATGTCTGTATTATGGCACATACACTCATTGCATTTAGTATCCTTTGCATTGCTCACCTTAAGTGCCATTTCAAATCAGCTTTTTTTATATATATACTCTAAGTTATGTAAAATTTTTGTTGAAGTATATGTACCACGTATAGGTATTTATTTTATTTTTTATTTGAAATATTTTTTTTAATAAAAAAAAAGAGATCACTGCTTTGCTGATCGAACTGAACGTTGCCACTTTTCACTACTGAATAATGCCAAAGCTACGAGATCGCGGCGCTTTTATATACTTAGGAAGAAAGTAACGCATGCAATAAGCCACCAACATGCAACAGCCACAGCCAACAACGACAAATAGAGCAACAACAACAATGCCATATTTGTGGTGGTAACAATAACAATTGCAACAAAGAGAGGAAGAAAAAGAGAGGAAGGTAAAATGTGTAGTGGAAGTCAGTTGGTAAAACAGGCGAAGACACCACAAGAGAGGACCATTGCAGTAGCAGGCTTGCATAAAAATATGAAGTGCCTATGTGAATAGAAAAAACCATAAACAAAATAACAAAGACACAATACAACTGGCAAAATATATCAGCTGGAACACACAAGCGGTACAAAAATAAAAATATTATCGCAAATGCGAAATTATGCCAAAAACGGGTGGAAATTTAATTAGTGTTTATACGTACATATATACATACATACTTATTCATAAATAAAATACGCTTACATGCCTTTAAACGAGTATGTACACTACTACTTGTGGTATGTAGTTTTAGTTTTTGGGTGGCTATAAAAGATGTTTTATGTACAGATAACATCTGCTGTTGCCGCGCTGTGTTAATTGCTGTTGACATTAAATTTATCTATGCCAACGCGAATGTAAATTAAAATACCTTCCAATTGTTGGTGATGAAATTCCCATAAACTTGTAATTATTTAAGAGATTTTTGAAATGTAAATTGTATCATCGTGCAGTTGCAGTTGGGTATTTGTAACAGCCAAAAACAGTCAGTCCTTCAACTAAATATAAATGACTACTACAACAGAAACAAGATACTAATAATCCAGTTTGGTTTACGACATGCATTTCCTCTTATTCAGTAAAACTCTGTGATAAAAAAATTACGAAAATAAAAATTTACTTCTTAATCTAACCGACTAAGCCGTTTTCTCAGCCTGGTGTCAGCTTGATGTAGAAATACATCCGCCATGTTGTATCCGCCATTTTGAAATTTGAAAACCAGACTTTATATTCGTAATCAGCGATCCCAAAAACATTAAAATATGTAATGACCTAAAATTTTTACATCAGTTTTGTAAAGAAAATAAAAAATATATACATATTTGCTTTTTTGCGAATTCAGCGTATTTTACCTAGCACAGTAATGACGTAATTTTTAATTTTAGATGCTGCTTCTTTGCAATCGAAAGGTATTAGCTTACGAGTATTTTGACTTACATTTGGGGTATTCACAACGTTGTCGTAAGTGTCGTATTGTTGTATGTCGTAAACTTACGTATAAAAACGTATAAAAAAACAGGATCTGGACAGAAGACAGCAGAGGCACCGCTGCTATATGGGCAGCCAC